CAGGACGGGTGTCTGCCCATGGGGAGCAGGACACAACCCCTGCTCCCCAGAATCCCTATTCATGCAGCATGGAGCACGAACAGCAGCACCGTTGGGTGTTGGCGGGCTGTGATTCCAGCAGGGCTTGGTCACCCGGGCGCTTCTCCCAGATGGTGCTGGCGATGCTCTTTGCTGGAGCTGCATACAGCCCTTGGCGGGGGGCCGACACTTAAGAGGGAGGCCAGGCTTTGTGACTATCGGGGATGCAGAGCCAGATTCCTCATCTCCCAGAGGGGAGGAGCCCCGGAGACACCACGCACCCGTGACCCCTCAGGGGACACCGCGTTCCACAGGATGCACCCCGCATCCCACCCACTTCGCCCTGCCCTCCAAACAGAAAAGGGCACGCACACCACATCTCAAAATAAACACAAGCAATGCACATGCTTTTCGTCTGCACTAGGGACCACTTGTCCCTAGTAGAACCGTCATGGAAATGGCAGCTTATTGGGACTCCGTGCCTGGGGACTATTCGTGTATATACACAGCATGCATTTGGAGCCAAGACCACAGCCCTGCGGGACCACCGACCAGCAGTGCCTGATTTTAGGCCACACGGAGGACCTCCTTCTTGGGGGCGGTGGGCACACACACACTGGACTCAGAACCACCCTGCGCTAACTGGGGAAGAAGCCTTATTTTATAAGAACCGAGAAATCTGCAGGGACATCCTCCAAAGAGCCAGGTGGTGGCCAAGGTGACCACGGAGGGGTGACCCGACCCACGAGAAAAGCATTTAGAGCCTCCACGACAGCTCACCTCCCCATTAACCACCCATGCTAACCCCACAACCTGCCAGCGACCCAGCCCTCACATCATCACCACCCCATCCCACCCCCGGGGCCGGACATGACGCTGAACCTCGGCACGAGGTCAAGATGAGAAAAGCAATGTTTACGCCCATGGGAAGGAGATGCCCGAACATGCACGGCAGGGGGCGGGGGACATCCACGGACGACTTCACGTTTACGGGAAGATCCAGGATGCGCGGATGCTCGGACAACCTCCACCCCGTTCTCGATGGACTTTAACATTCTAAGATCGTGAGATTTTTAGATGGTTCCTAAATAAGTGGATTTTTTTTTTTCCTTTCCTCCCCTGGAGAAGTGGGTCAAGCGGGACATTCACATATTTTTGAAAAAAAAAAAAATAACATGGGTCACAGAGACAGTGAGGACCTACTTTGTGGGACACGGAGTGGGCAACGCATCAAAGAACTGCAGAAGCTGGGAAATCAGACGTTGAAAGTTGCACGGCAAAGCGAAACCCTACGACCCGGGTGGGCTTTGTCTCGGGACCCTCCGGCCGGCCCAATTCGTCGACCCAATGGACAGTCGCGAACGGGATGAATGCAGAGAAGCGCCCCCTCCCCACCCCCACCCGCCACCCGGCCGGCCGCGGTTTCTTTCCCTCAGATTTAAGTCTATGAGAAAATATTTGCATTCCTCTTCCCGTCCTGAAGCTACCTGCACGTTAATGCGACATAAGAGTGTGAGCTTCCATGCATCTGCAGGGGGTGGGGGTGGGGTGGGTACACAGAATCCCGGATCTGGGAGGCATCCCCATCACCATGGCAACTGACTAGCCATAGGGAGCAGGGCAAACGCCAGGGTTTGCTTTAGACTCAGCATCTTAGCGGACAAGCACTGATCATACAGGAGCAGCTCCAGGCTCGCGCACAGTTTCCCGCTCGTCCCTACATCCTCGGCTCATCTGAAACGAAAGGTCGAGAAATGAAAACAAAACAACACAAAAAGCAAAAAGGTAAACTTCGGAGAGGTTCAGGCGAGTCCGAAGCCCCAGGCAGCGGTCGCCGGGTGTGACAAAGACACTCTTCGCACTCGGGAGGAGAGCTGGTTTCTAGGGTTGGTTTTGTTTTTTAAGCGGCGTTGAAAGCCCAAGGTGCAACGGGCGGCCGCGGATCAGAGACGGAAGCAAACTCAAAGAGGAGGGGGAGGTGGAGGTGGGGACAGACGGAAGCAGGGACAGAGGGGAAGGCGAGGGACACGCCAGCAGGTCGGCTCAGGAACGCCTCAAGCACCTGCTGGAAACCGTGAGCACACGAATCAGCCGCCACGCACACGGAAGGCCAGCAAATCGTGCCCACCAAGTGACAGCCACCCAAAGCTGCGCTCTGTCCAAGCAGGTCACCATCCATGCCATTCGCTGCTCAAACCCGTCACTTGAAGCCAACGCCGCAAGCCACGAGCCCACGCCCCAAACGGCTCCTAACAGACAAGCGCGCGTCATTTGCAAGAAAACCACATTAAACTCATCCAAACGCGTCCAAATGGGCAGGAATGGAGGTACACATCGGAATCTCCAGGAATAAAGGACAGATGCACCAAATTTCATGGGCCACGGATACTGTTCCGGGCGTCAGCTCAGAACATGATACTAAAAAGCACTTCAATAAATGTACAGCAAGACTGCTGGGATTTGATGGATGCATCTCCGCGTTGAGAGAGCACCTACTTGATGGAGACTAACCTTCATGCACAACTCAACAGACCCTGCAAAATCCAATGCAATGACAAGATCCTGGAAAACCACCCTCTATAAAAACAACCACTCTTGTAAAACAATAGTTTTCCCCCCAAACCTTGGTTTTTTCAAGCGCTGGGACGCGCCATGGCCACATCCTTCTTAGGAAATGTCCAAGCTCACAGCTACACATGGGTATGCGCTTCTTTAAACCACCATCCCGACAAGAAAACCCACAAACAGTCCTGCACAGACTCCACTGAAAGGTCTAGGATGTTCACGATCCCAATGCCTGGATCCAATGCTTCAATTCTATGTCTGTTCATAAAAAGGCATCACGGACACAGACACTGAGTTCATCTACCAACACAGGTCAAAAACACCAAAACGTCTCGTGGCGTACTCAGAAGAGAGACTCATTCTCCTATGTCAGTGTCCTGGGGTTTACAGAAAAATAGCACCTAATTTTCTTTGTCTTAACATGGGGCATTTTATGGCTCCAGACAAAGGCACCTAATGACTGAAATCAGAACTACCAGCTTCCTTCCCTCATTGCGTTTTTGTTTTTTTTTTACATTTTCTTTGTGCATCTACATCAGCGAATATCAGAAACGCCGTAAAAACCAGAAAGCAAATCGAGACTGTAAAGTCGCCCCCAATGTTCATTTGGCTCATGCAGAATGAGAGACTATACGGAATTCTGGGTAAATGAATTTAGCTAGCTGTTCAGGAGCATATGTTGAGTCCCGGACTGGCCCGAGCCCATTCTTCAGGAAGGATGCTGTTATTTTTTGAAATTAGGGAATTCAACTATATCTACCTGAGGAACTTTGTTTTCACCCCCTGTTAGGAAAAAGACCAAGACCCAGGAATGAGGTACAGGGGGATGGGGAACACTTGGTTTTCCAAGTCCCTAATCCCATTCCAAGTATGGGACAATGTCAAGTCCATTAAGATTCTTGGGTCCTTCCCCAAATCCCTGTGCCTTGGCATATGAATGTCAAATCGGCATCATAACGTCCAAGGGGGTCATATATCCCAAACCCGAGGTGACAGAAATGCTTTGCAACTCCAGAATCCGAATGGATTTGGAAATCCAAATTGGATTTGAAAGTCACCTACAGATTTTCAAAAAATCACTGTGCCCGGACTTCCCATGCATCGTTCCTTAGCAGGCATGCCTTCGTCCTCTCCTGGCTGGGCGTCATGCTCTGAGCTGAGCCTCTTCAGAGAGGGGGGCAGAAATGAAGTGCATTTGAGCACGTCCTTGATCTAGGTCATCTGTCCATTTGGGCACATCCTTGACCTTGGTCATCTCTCCATTTGGGCATGTCCATGACCTTGGTCTTCTCTCCATTTGGGCACATCCTTGACCTTGGTCTTCTCTCCATCTGGGCACGTCCTTGACCTCAGTCATCTGTCCATTTGGACATGCTGGATGCTCAACATTCAGGCAACCGAGCACGGTTTCCTGAGCGCCCCTGATGGAAGGCGCCCAATCACATGTGGGAAATAGACATAATCAGGCACCCTTCCCGTTCGCTGCAAGAAAAGAGATGCCAAACAGCAGCTTATGTTAAATCTCTGAACCCACAGTCCGTCTGGGACTGTCAATTTCGGGTTACAACCAGAGTCTGTGAATCTAAAAATCTAGAATGATGGGAGATTTAGGGTAGACTCCCTCCCTATAGTCAGATTTTGTATCACCATCTATTCAAATCTTTGAGTCCTCAGGCAGTGGTCCTTGAGGACGGAGGTCAACGGCTAAGTATGAATCTGGACTTGAAACCACAGGCAGGTTGAGAAGTTTAGACATCGTGAGGTTCCATCCATAGCCCACAGGACTCCTAAGCCACATCAGAGTCCACCCTTCGTGTTCATCTTGCAAGAGGGAAGGCAAGACTTAGAGCAACCCAGAGATGCATGAACATGAGCTATGTTCAAAATACAACTTACTGATATCAGAGCAAATCCTATGTAATTCAGGGACTCTTGCCCATACGGTCCCCAAACACCCAACGATGGAGTTCCAATCTCTATGTTGGTAGGTGTGACATCCTCCACATTCCCCTATAAATTTTATATCCCACCCAAAAGCCCTCTGGAGCACCTGTCAGTACGGGGTGGTACCAGAAAAGGAATCGGCTGCCCTGCATTTCAATTTTCATTCTCTTGGTTGGAGAAAACAATATGGCGCTCCCCCCCACCCCAGCCATCGCTCTTGCCTTAAGGGGGAAGAAGATGACAGCAATTATAAATAAGGATGAATAAACATTTCCAAGAGCTAACATTTCTTCAACCAACCTGTCAAGACTTTCACACACAACCCTATGGAACCTCACAAAAGTCCTGTGGTGTGCAGATGATCATCTCCCCCCTTTAGAGACGGAAAACCCAAAGACAGGGGTGGTTAGTGACTTGCAAAATTTGCACAACTCCACACAGGCGGCGCTGGAATGGAAGCTACAAAGTCTGATTGCAGTATCCCAGCGATCTCTTGAACCATCAGCCACCTCACACGCGTCTCATGCCAAGGGGACTTCTGGATCGTTTTAGTTTTGAGAAAGCACAGCTTTTAAGTTAGTAAGGCATGGAGAGAAGGAAGGGGCCACAAAAACCTTACCGTTTTCTTTGAAGCACAACTTTTTCTTCTGGTAGGCGATAAAGCTAGAGATCGCTCCGGCCACGGCCACCACAACGGCCCCAATGATGCCAGGGACTACCCCAGGGGAGTCAGCTGTGGGAAGAAGCATAGGGCACCATGACGGAGAACACTCGTGGAGAGCAGACCACGCACAGGACAGGTGGCTGGAGGCCCCGCCCACAGGAAAAAGGTGCGATTGAGTGTCAAGACACAGGGTCCCAGGGTGTCCATGGAGGAAACCCCACCCTTGAGCCTTGCCCAACTCCCAACACTGCCTCCAATCCATTTGCATGACACGAAGGGCCAGCCATACTGCTCCCCGAAAGTCCCACCTGGAACTGGAATCCATTTGACTACGCATATCGCTTCCAATGCAAAACAGGTTTTGGGTGGATGACACACCCTGCCTCCTCCCATCCCTATGGCCAGTGCAGGGGTCCTAACAGTCAAAGGTGGAAGGTCTCAGGAGAGGCAACATGGCCCACAGTGCATGGCGCCCATCTGGGACCACTCAGAGGCTGTGTGGCATCATCCTCTTCATGCATTTTCTGAAAATCAAAGCCACTGACCCCCTTTGCTACTTTCATTTGACTTACTGGAATGGAGTTTCCATGCACTATTAGTAACTCACACTACGTGTATCTGTACCACATGGACAGCTAGCTATTTCTCGGCATGGCAGGTGCCCAGGACATCCCGCTCCATGAGTCAATCAAGGATGATGTGATGCTTAATTGTGTCCACTTGACTGGGCTCAGCGGTGCCCAGATAGCTGGGAAAACATTCCTTCTGGATATGTCCATATGGATGTTCTCAGTAAAGATTAATGTTTGCATCTACAGACTACGTGAAGCAGGTGGTCTTCACCCATGAGGGTGAGCATCAACCAATCCACGGGGGGCCTGAACAGAACAGAGCGTAGAGATGGAACATCCATCTTCATCTGCCCTTGCGCATGAGCACTCCTAGTTCTCGGGATTTGAGACTCAGGTGGGGACTTGCACTCCCAGCTTTCTTGGTTCCCAGTCCTTTGGACTGGGACTGAACCACACCAGTGCCTCTCCTGGTCCTCCAGCTAGCAGTCAGCAGATCGTGGGACTTCTCAGCATCCATAATCATGTGGGAAAATTCCTTATAATCAATCTCTTTCTGTATATCCTACACTTACATCCGTATCTAGATAGATCCCAATGGTTCTGTTTCTCTGGGGAACCCCAGGTAATATAGATGGTATTCCTTCTTAGGACACTGTGGGAAGATGAGTAAACTTAACCTGTGGGTCACCTCAGTACCCCCTTGCTGAGTCTATTAAAGAACACCAACCAGCTACTTCAGCAGAGCGCTTCGGAACGCACAGCGCAAAGCAATCGCGCTTTGATGCTTCGGGCCATCATCTTTAGGATGGCAGAGCCAACACTCTAGGTTTGATCTTGACCGCTGCATTCCACTTTCTCTCAACGGTGCATATAAGAAACCCAAGACATCAGAAACCATGTGTACATACCCTGCTCCCCCCCATCAGGCTTTTGGTTTCCTCCATCACCACCGCCACCACCTCCTGCAAGGGAGAAACAGGCTTGCAGACAAGTTGCATCGGGAAGAGTTTTGGTAAAGAAAATATAATCCCAAAGATCAACTACTGGGACCCTGAGTTGTGAAAGAACTCACAGAGTCCTTTCCCTTTGTTGAGTCCCTGCTTTGCTAAACCTATCATTGGACTTGCTCCCATTTGCCTGACACCCAGACTCAGCTCCTGACTCAAACCATTCCTCCCATGGTGGGCTGCAGGTGAGCCAGTGAGTCCTGGGTGCCTCATGGATTCTGACCCCTCTTGCTGGGCTCGGGAAGAATCCCAGCCAGGGCCCTGGAGCCCACCTGGGACCCGGACCATAGCTATGGGGTGATCCAAGGCACATTCCTGTTGAATCCCAGGATCTGTACCTGTGACTCACCCTTGAATAACTCAAGAGGATTAGGGGATCCAACCCCCTGTACAGTCGAAAATCCGTATACAACTTTTGATTCCCCAAAAACTTACTTACTAATAGCCTACCATTGACTGGAAGGCTTACTGATAACATAAACAGTCAATGACATATACACTGTATGTTCTGTGTATTATATACTATACTCTTACAATAAAGTAAGCTAGGGAAAAGAACACGCAATTAAGAAAATCATAAGAAAAAAAGATGGAGGTAGAGGCATGAAGAGAATCATAAGGGAGAGAAAGTACATTTACAGGACTATATTGTATTTATCAAAATAAGTGGACCCATGCGGACCAAACCTGTGTTGGTCAAGGGTCAACTGTAAGTATACATTAAGACAAACTACATGTAAATATAATAAATCTTAATATATTCTAACTACTATAAACACGTATTATTATATTTATTGTATACTAAAATTTTTACTTATTTATACAAGATATATTATATCTAAGTACTGCTTTGGACCCTACTCTAACCTCAGATTTTAAAGAGAGGTGGAAAATCTGCATTTCGAATTGTAATGCTGTCAACCAGGGTCACATGACTTCATTCTCATTTCTACGTTCATTAAGTAATAGAACACAGGCCATTGGTGACACCCAATAGTCATCTAAAAAAAAAAACAAAAACAAACAGGTGATTGGGGAGTTCAGGCGATGTCTGAGAAGTGCCCGATCAGCTGGCCTCCAGCCCCATGCATGTGGCCAATAGACAGCTCCCTGAACCATTAACACAGCTCCCAGGGAGCAGCCTTGGTGGGGCAGGTCTTACCGGCCACATCCTTGATGCATCTACAAAGGGCAGAGGTGGGAAGAGATTTCCAAGCAGCTGACCGTGATTTCCCTGAGGGTAAGACTGTAGGCCCTGACGTCATTGTGTACAGCAGGTGGGCAACAGAGAGAAAAGAGAAGAAGTCTTAACTCTACCTCCATCTGAAGCTCCATCGATGAGATCGGAATCTGAAAAACCACCTAGGAGACAAAAACACAGTGTCATCCGCCATATTGGGACTGTCAGGGAGGTCTCGATGTCTTGGAATGAAGGAAAACACCATTAAAATCAAAAGCAGATCTGAGGCACAGGGAATCCAACAGCAGCTCTACTTTATAGAAGAAATCTCTCAAATACGCAATGACAATTGAATTCCCAATTCTATTTTAAAACTCCTAAAATTCGTCTTACCAAAAACTCTGCTAGGAAACCTGAAAAAGATACCAAGAGAAATGGAAAGCATATACCAATCTTTTGGATGAATATAAATAAGATAATCCCAAAGGGATCTGTCTGGTATAGATTCAGGGCACTAATGGCCCTAGGTATTCACTCTCCCCATTATGGGTGGCATGTTCTGCCCACCTCTTGACTGTGGACTCGGCCACATGACTTACTTTGGACAACGGTAAGTTGGCAAAATGGGAGCCGCATCAATATTTTAAAATAGGGGTTGATGCTCTTGCCCCTTGAGAGGGGCTCATAAAACCTAGTGGCAGGGTGTGGGAGACACATAAGGGACACCTTAGTCATCCCAGCTGAGGTCACCCAGACAAGCCAACACCAGAAGACCCACCAGCTGACCACAGACATGTGACAGCCATGCAGAGATCAGCCAAGCCTGGCCCAGACTCGTGACACATAACACATTTTTTAAAGATTTTATTTATGTTATTTAGAGACTGAGAGAGAAAGAACAGGGCGGGGTGCAGAGGGGGAAGTCTCAAGCAGACTCTATGTTGAGTGCCAGCCAGATGTGAGGCTCGATCTCATGACCCTGAGATCACAACCTGAGCCAAAACCAAGAGTCAGATGCTCAACTGACTGAGCCATCCAGACACCCCGAGACATAACAATTTAAAAAATTTTAAACCACACTGGGTTTGGGCATAGTTTGTTATGCAGCCTTTGCTAGCTGATACATATCAGATTTAACCCATCAGTTTAACAAAACCTATCATGACCAAGTATGGTTTATTCCAGGAAGTCAAGGACATAATGTGTAGAAAGACATCCTTCAATATACCTTGTCGTATTCACAGGTTAAAAGAAAACTAAATGCTCATATGCATTGATAAGCACATGCACTTGATGAAATTTAATATGGGTTTTCTAGCCAAGGCAAAATGATTCAAATATAATAAAACTGGAAAGAGAAACTATAAACATAAAAATATATACACATTTGATTTAAAAATAGTTTTGCTAATAATGTGATAGTCTTTTCATAAAAGCTAAACAATGAAGGCAAAATTATTAACAGGTAATAAGGATTCATCATTAAGCGGCCAGTGAGGAAAGATGTACAAAATTCCTTTCTGTATCACAGAAATAAGCAGAAAAATAATGGGCATAAAATGTATTCACAGAAACAAACATTAATAGGGAAAAGCAATTTAGAAATAATGTTTATAAGAACAACAAGAAAGAAGGACAGAAAACTGAATGCAAAGCAAAAAGCTCAATTTTGCAAACGGTCGGCACTCTCCAAATCGATCTCTCATTGGAAACCATTCAAATGACAATAAAAGGACAGTTTTCTTTCTCCCGAGAAGGATGAGAGACAATGACGAAGTGAGTGTTAAATTAAAAGGAAAAAAACAGAGAACCGCAAAAACGCAGGGAAGCCATTCAAACATCAAAGACCCCACGGGGAAAAACACAGACACACATGCACACACATTTAAAGGCTAACTTGCCAAAAAAGCACTGGGAAAAATACCCAAATGCTAAAATAAGGGGGGAAAAGTTTTCATAATAAATGACTGAAGAGAGTATCCGTAAGTGGATGAAACGGGCTTCTCGATCAGGAAGGACATACCAGGTACCCTCGAATGTAACTGTACGTGGCCAACTGACACTCCAAATTTATCTCCTTTAATTTCCTAAATAAAGACGTGAAATTAGGGCCAAGGGCCGTGTAACCTTGCACAGGATACATCCGGCAAGCTTTTCCGGGTGATAACAACCAGTCTCGGGAACGGTGTGTAGGAGAGACGCACATTTGCATCAACAGCTGGACTGGGGTGCGCCGGTATAATTTTGAAGGCAATTAAAAAAAATGTCAAAAACCATAGCACACACGGACCTAAACAGTTTGACATGCACCATCTCTTTTAAGGAATAAGAAAGGAAAGGTATGAGGGCGTCTTCGGTTTGCTTTGTGAATCGTATTTCTCCAGCCTCAGAAGACACAGCACTTTCGACGTTAAGGACGTTGCAACGGAATGACCGCCATGAAAAGGGGCACGATAAAAACAACCAAACGGAATGAAAAAAACTGCTTATGAAATATTAATAAGCACAGCATGAGGTAAGGAAGAGTATGAACAAAAAACTGACATCATCGGGTCTTAGAATTCTGTTCATTTAAAATCCCGTCTGGGGGCGCCTGGGTGGCTCAGTCGTTACGTGTCTGCCTTCCGCTCAGGTCATGATCACAGGGGTCCTGGGATCGAGCCCCGCATCGGGTTCCCTGCTCGGCGGGAAGCCTGCTTCTCCCTCTCCCACTCCCCCTGCTTGTATTCCCTCTCTCGCTGTGTCTCTCTCTGTCAAATAAATAAATAAAAATCTTAAAAAAATAAAATAAAATAAATAAAAATAAAATAAAATAAAATCCTGTCTAAAGCACTAGGGAAGGCAACTGCCAAAATGTTGACGGTTGCACAATATGGAGACTATTTATGTTTTTATGCGTTAAAAATTAAACAAATCTAAAGCAAGAAACGCACTCAGAATCTGAAGTGTTCACACAGCCGTCCAATGCAGAAAACAGGTGCTAGTTGGATTATTCTAAATATACTGGAATATGTCAGAAAAAGGAAAAAGGCTGAAAATCCAACAGCTTCTCCACAGCAGGAAACCAAAACCTGATACTTTTGTCCAAATCTATTATTTGGACAAATATATAGTTTAGGGGCACCTGGGTGGCTCAGTCGGTTGGGCGTCTCTTGATTTCAGCTCAGGTCACGATCTGGGGGTCATAGGACGGAGCCCCACGTTGGACTCTGAGCTCAGCACGGAGTGTGCTTGGGATTCTCCCTCTCTCTGTGCCCCACCCCCTTCTCGCACTCTCTCTCTCTCCCCATCAAAAAAATTTTTAAAAAGTAATTAAAAAAAATAAGTAAAATCTTCCACTGTGTTTTTGAAAGGTCCGTAAAACCCTGGAAGTCAACCGCAGCCAACCGAAAGTCAAATCCAAACCAAAAATATCGTTTTGAAAACTCGTTTCCCACTCCTGGAAAACCGGAATGACCTTGCACTAGAGAGACCCCAGGACGCCCACGCTAATCTGAAATGACCTGTTCTCGGCCAACAGGGAGACCACCGCTCTCTGAGAACGCACAGCACCTCTGAAGGGGAGGGGGTCTTACCAGAAGATCCAGGCTGGTTGGGGTTCGGATGAGGCTTCGGTTTGGGTGGTTTAGGTGGCACTGGGTCGTCTGTTGGTAAAACATAAGCATTGCGTTTGTGAGCAGTCAGCAAAAAAACCCCCAAAACCAAAACAACAGAACACATCAGTTTGCCTACAGATGGTTTCCCAAACAGCCAGAAAGTGGAGTGTATCCTTCCTCATGGAGGGGACCCCCAAACACAGCCACCTGCCCATTTCTTTCCATCATCATCCAGCTGCCCTACTTACCTTCAAGAGAACCAAACAGTTCCAAGAGTTCCGTAAATTTCCATTAGAAACTAAAGCAGGCGCCTGGACCAGCTACAGAATTCGTGGGACCCAGTGCGACACGGAAATGCGGGGCCCCTCTTTCAAACCACGTTGAGAATTTCAATATGGCAGCAACAAACCATCCCAGTGAGGGTGGGGCTCCTGGTGAGTGAGTGCACGGGTCACACGCCCGGGCAAGGGTGCTCACATCAACCTTATGGCATTCCAAACGATGCTCGCCCGTTTTTTAAAATAAAAGCAAAAGCACACGGGTGGAAACGAGAAACCCAACAAGGGCCAATAGCAATACGCCATTCTCTACGTGTTTGTGGTAACAGCTCGTTCTGACTTGAGAGGGACAAGGCTCTTGGGAACGATGGTAATTTGCTGATCCTAAGCAAGTCAGCCACACAGGAGACTTCCCGAAGGTACTTACTCTCTCCTCCCCCGCCGACGGCATCTTCCAGACTGAACCCATCATCGTCTGCAAGGGAAACGGGCCGTTAACACCGAGGATCCAGGAAAGAATTCAGCTCCCTAAACACACGGAGGAACCCCTGCGTCCCCACCTCCCCAAACACGTCTGCGAATACCAGTCTGACCCAGGTCTGAACAGAAGAGCCAAATTCCTCACCTCTCAGAGGAAAGGAGCAAGACACAAAACGAAACCCACAAAATGGCACGTACCAATCAATGGTGCCACGTGGGCCGAGCTGGGATTCCAACTCTGCCCGTCGAGAATCCCCTCCCGTCCGAAACCACCCCTCCCGCGTGGCCAGCGCCCTCTGTGCCGCAGACACAACGCGGTGGGCGCAGATGCAAGGCACTGGATTTGCACGGGCATGCACCAACACTGGGGTTCCCTCAGCGCAATGATGGGACCCTTCCTGGTGGCATCACGGGTTGCCTTGGTTTTATGAACCAAGTTCCAGCTACGTCTAGGGACGTTGGTGGATCCGCCCAACGCAAGGCACCGAACTACCGTGAAAATTCAGGTTTTCAACAATCTCTTATCCAGCATCCTCTGCACGTCCGTGGTGCGCAGGGACGCGGATATGAACACAGCAGGTGCTATGTGTTCACTCCTGACGGGACATTCTGGCTGGAGTGCCCTGCTCTTAAACCTATTCAATTAAAAACAACTTAAAAAAAGAATCAACAGCGGTAAGACCTCCATGATTTTGGCATCAGTTTTTGTCCCGGTGGCTCAGGAGCAACGGATCAGACCCTTGTTCCCGGTTCCCGACTTTCCTTTGAAAGGAGCCCCGCCAACAATGGGCGGGTGTGTCCTAGCGGCTGGAGACTGGGTTCGCTCACGTGTTCTACGGGCATCTCAGCCCCCCAAATTCTTCTCCTAGGCAACGCACATCCAAAAGCATCCAGACGCGCTGTCCAAGCGACCTGAAAGCATCCCCGAGACACGTCAGCCCCCGGTCTTGCCCAAAAAACATGGCACCCTGTAGCTAACGTTGGCAACATCACTCCAGTAGGAACCAGTCTGCGTCCAGAGCCCCCGAAACCACTCGTCTCTATGCTTGTCTACGTCTGGACCAGCTCTTGGGGCGAGCGGGAGGGCGCGCGTGGTGGGGGTCTCTCCTGCAAGGCACCAGCCCGTTTGCTTCTTACCAGAGCTGGGTCTCTTGGGGGGTGCCGTAGGCTTCTTGTCGTCATCTACAGAGAAAAGACACTGAATCAGCAAGACCTGAAGATAGAAAACCGTGCCAAGTCTCGACGATGCTCCATGCGCTTTAAAAAAAAGTCAGAAAATGTCCAAAGCACCACTCCCCGATTGCTCAGGCGGCGGCCGGGGGTCAGAGCGTGAATTCTGAGCCCACCAGGACCGCCACGGACAGGTGCACAGGTTGGTGTTGGCCACGGCGTGTGCTGAGACCAAGAGCATGGGGGTTCTCCCACTGGGAAGGTTTACTCCCCCTACCCGGAGCGTCCGGCTTTTCCTCCTCCTGCGTGAGTCCCTTTACCCCGGTACACACTTCAATATACTTACTACGTTCAGACAAAACACTCATCGTCCATTTTAAGTCAAAAGTTTACTATTACATCTGTCACCTTATAAATATTAAATTTCAAGAGGACTCACCACCAAGGGCATCCGACAAATCGAAATCTTGGCCTACGAGGACAAAGAGTCTGGTTAGAAATCGGGGAAATAAAAACGTAAAAATTAAGAAGACAGTACAAAAAAAGGTGGGGGAGGGCCTGAAATTTTTCTGGATTTCGTGATGTTTGCGACAGTTAGCCGCTCTTTAAAACGTATAATGGAGGCGGAACTTCTCATCTCTTCACCACGCTCACGTTTACGCCGAAACGTTAGATGATAGTTTACGTTAGAAACGGCTGGTGATCTTAAAATTTAGCAGCTGTTACAGTGGTAGGAAAGCATGGTAATTTTGCCCGTGCATCATTTATGAGGAGCAGACCCTCTGCAAAAATGACTAACAATTTCCTGTATGTGATGGAAAACACAGATGGGCAGAAAAAAATCCCCTTTTATGAGCAACTTCTCTGACTACACAGCCAACCTGCATCTCTTGCAGAATCACTAGACAACCCAGAAAAACACAGACATTGTTTTTTGACCTCCTGGGATCACAGAGAATGGGGAATCTGCAGAGCTGCTCCTTGTGCTTCTCCCTGGGCCCGAGTGTTTTTACTGAAACCATTCCCGTGCTATTGCCAAGTGCCCATTTCGGATGGGCTGCAGAAAAGGCACCGTAAAGACATTTTGGAGAAGCCCGCGTGGACTGCCTGGACAGCTGTGAGGGGACTGAGCGCAGGTCGGACAGTGACTGGAGGGTCCAGAAGCTGAGGGGACGTCTGCACCACCTCAGGAAGCGCTGGTGTCCAACGCTCCACGAACACGCACGGAGCCGCCTCAATGTGGGCATGTGCTCAGTTGTACGGGACGCCTCAGACAGGCGGTGCTCTATTATTGTGTCCTCTCTCGCGTGTGCGTGGGGCATGTGTGTGCGTGTGTGCACAGATGTAAGTGTGTTTGCGTGTGCTTTGTGTGTGGGGATGCGTACACACGTGTTTATGCTTTGTGTGTGTCCATATATGTAGGTGTGTGTGGGTGTGGTTTATATGTGTGGATGTGTACACGTGTGCATGGTTTATGTGTGTGTGTAGATATAAGTGTGTGTAGGTGTGGTCTGTGCGTGTGGATGTGCACGTGTGTGCATGGTCTGTGTGTGTCCCTACATGCAGGTGTGTGCAGGTGTGGTGTGTGCATGTGGATGTGCACGTGTGTGCATGGTCTCTGTGTGTCCCTACATGCAGGTGTGTGCATGTGGATGTGCATGTGTGTGCATGGTCT